TAAGTCATATTTTTCTACTTATATTCCAAGAGTCACTGTTCAGGCCAACGAGAGATTGAAACGCTCCATACTCCGGGAGTATTGGATTTTAGGAAGTGTAGAACTTCCAAATTTCAGAAGAACTGAAAGAGAAGTGATGAAAAAAAAATACTAAAAATAGGGCTAAGCTCAGAGGAACAAATTTAAATGGCCAAAGAGACACTAAATCTCAAGTGAGTGTTCGGGCTAGCTTCAATGCACTGGATTGTGGCTTTAACGATATAAACAGATAGCAAGGATACTGAGCTAATGAGACAAGAAACGAAATGAGACCTGGTAATATCAAATGTTATACAACTAAAGAAGGTCACTGGGAATAAATTTATAGGAAAGGGACAATAAGAAGAGAAAAGAAGGGCGCCAACTCAACGATAGTTGAGATTTTGAAGTAACAAATGAATCTGGAGATAATACTCTGAAATACAAAAATACTAAATAATAATCTTGTTTTGCTATGTTATATACTGGTTAGTAGAACTGAAATAAAACTCAAAATAGCAACAATAAATATATTTATAAAAAATGTATATAGGTATATGTGTATAAACAATTTACATATAATGCAAAGCTAAATAACAGTGGTAGTGGGTGTGTAAAGATATAATAGGACCTAATAGCCCCTTAACAAGCGAATAGTCACTACCACTGGCCAAATAAAGTTTAAAATATTAGTAACAATTCAAGAATAGTCCGTATGATAGCCAAAGTCTTAACACAAAAAGGTAGTAATTTAACTTTAAATAGTTCTACTAATATGAGATACTAATGACAATATTGTAAAGATATCAAACTTGATAAGTCTATTACAATTATTATATTACATCCAAAAAATGAGTCTTCAATACTCTTTATATAATGTTAAAAAAAAAACCACATGAAATTTATTTCCCTTCCCAAAATCAAAATTGTATTATATCAAAAATGTATTCTATTAAAAATATATATATTAAATCAACAAGTGAGTTCGGTCAGACTCTTGAAATCCTAACTAAAAACCCAATAAAAACATGTAATGTATTTTCTTCTCCCCAATATTTTAGAATTAGATTATATCAAAAATTAAATTATCCCAAAGGTATTCACCTTATCATATGCATATGATGAGTTAACAGTAAATAGATAGTAACAAATGTTAAACAATTAACAGTAAATAGATAGTAACAAAAAAAAATTACACAGTCAAACAACTTATCTTTACAGCCCCATAAGTCCATAGGAAAATTCCTCTTGGCACGGTTACATCAGTTTGTGACTGTAAGGACAAACCCAGGGGAGGCTAATGTAATCAAACCAGGCACTAGTCTATCTGCTCCGAGAAATCGGTAACTCCATAACCAAGTTGTTAACTATTCAATAAAGAGAATAACTATTCCTTGAGGGAATATTCTCAAGAGAATACTCTCAAGTGAAGTGATAACAGCGCGTGTGGGGAAAAATGTCGATTTAAAATCGATCGTAGGCGGGTAATAAAAATTTCTTGAGGGGTTTAAATTGGACTAGTCAGTAGCGTAAACGCTACAAGATTCAGTTTATCGTAAAGAGAAGATATTCCAAGAGTCATTTTTCACTCGGGCCAACGAGAGATTCAGTTTATCGAGAGGAGAAAGGCTATCATAATTTGAATGATTTGTGCTTTTGAAGGAGATCATTAAGGACAATATACTTGCAACAATTTTATTGTAAGATTGCTGATTACTTAGGGAGCGGCCACAAGTAAATAGTATAGTCTACAAATAACAAGGATTTGGACCACTCATCATCAGAGAGAGATAGTTTTGTTTTTTTTGCAGTTTTTTCTTTCATTGATAACACAAATTTTTTTTACTTAATTTAGAAAGGATATAAATATTTTGATTAGGAGATTTAGAGTAAAACTTGGATTTTGAGATTTCAACTAATATTGTTTGTACCATTAATTTTGATTGTTCACGTACGTAGAACAAAATTTTGAGAATTATTATATGAGATTTTGTTTACTGAAAACTTTTGAGTGTGAATTATTTCATTATTTTTATTTCAATATATAGTGTTAGATCATATGTGTTTTTTTTTATTCCGGTATTCTTTGGACCTTACCTTTCACATGTAATAGCATAGATATTGAAGCACGAATTTAACCCTGAGATAAAAGACTTTAAATATCACAATAATATATATATATATATATATATATATATATATATATATATATATATATATAGAAGAAATTAGCATAATAATATTATGATTTGTAATTAATAAACTTAAATAGTGATTAAAGAAATAATTTAAAAGTTATATACTAGAGAATATTATAAAAATTATTTATATGAGGGTATTCTTAAGAAATTAGCATAATGATAAGTTTAAAAAGTTTTTTTTTTGTTTTTATTTTAATAATAAATATATTTGAGTGACCCATGTACATAGGCAACCAAATATACACTGAATTGAGTCTGTGTTATTATGACATGGGTGAATTTGAACTGAATGAGTGACATTTGAATAATAATTACGGATGTAAAATAGTGTTATGTATTAATTTAAGATGTTTAGTTTATAAATAAGTTTATATTCTGATCTGAAAGCCTTAATGTCCATAAAATTCTCGATAGAAGGTTAAGAATTCTCTAGAACACGTCAATATAAGGAAGTTAACCTATTTACGTAGTAGACTATTCGAGAACATTCAGATATTGATGAAATAGAACAATTAGAATATTCGGGAAGGATGAAATGATATAAATAGGATGTAATTTTTAGGATGGAGGACAGTTACAGTTAACAGTATGAGAGTAACAGTTAAACAGTTAGACAGTATGAAAGTAAATTAAAACAGTTGGACAGTTAAACAGTTAGACAGTGCATTCATTAAGCAGTCAATCCTTCAGTCAGTTGATTAGTAAATAGTACAAGCAGATAGTATACAGTGGTCAGTATTAGAGTATTAATTATACAGTACAGTATGCAGTAATCAGTGATTCATTCATTCAGTAAGTTTTATAGTATTTGAAAATATATTTGAAAGTATATTAAAATTATTGATGATACATGAAAATTATTGGTGATTGGAGATATTAATAAGAAAAAATAAGATTATAAGAAAGAAGCAAAGAAGAAACAATAAATAAAGAAGAATATTTTGCCCATTTATAAATACTATTAAGAAGAAAAATAATTTAAATTGGTGGAAGCTGATAATTAAAACATTGTGGTGTATTTGGGAAAAGCAATTTCACAAAAACAAGGATAATCGAGGCTGAAAACGAAGATACTGAGTGGTGATTAAATCTTGTATTTTGGAAAACAGTTTCATTAAGGCATTGAGTGACAGAAAGGTACCAAATTTTGTTAACGTAATATTTATATTTATTATATTTCAGCTTCCGCTGAATTGAAGCGGAGGCGAGTATAAGTCTGCGTGCGATCGAATTCACCTTTTTCATTTCTTTGTTAGTAATTATAATTTTTTTTCTTTTATAGATCTTCGCCGGGGAGTTCACTCATCGCGGGATCCAGACGGGGACGTAGAATTCATTTTATTTTTATTTAGTGTACCTATATACGTTAGATTAATAGATTTATTTTTATTTCAACCTGTGTTTTACTGAGTCTGTCGCCACGAGAGAGCTACCCGTCACATGTTTATAATACTTCAGGTATAATATAATACTACGACAGTTCTGGATGTAAATATCCAGTTTTCCTGCATACATCACAGTTAAGCACCAATATTACACTTAACTATTATCTATTCTTCAATTTAAATTTAAAATATATTAACAAATTCACTAAAATTTCACAAATAGGGAAATTATCAACTTAAAGGTAAACAATACAACGCCATGTTGATTTTCCTCAAATCGTTACGATTGTTTGATATTACCAATGATGCCAAGTTTTAGAAAAAGTTAAGATTATCCGAAGATATTTTCTTATATAATTGTAAGAAATAAGAATAAATTTAAAAATTAATATTTTTCTTTTAATTCTTTGGTTGCGAAATAAGTATATCTATAAATAGTTTATACTAACTAGATAATACATTTTAGATTGACTTAGTTAAGCACCAATATTACACTTAACTATTATCTATTCTTCAATTTAAATTTAAAATATATTAACAAATTCACTAAAATTTCACAAATAGGGAAATTATCAACTTAAAGGTAAACAATACAACGCCATGTTGATTTTCCTCAAATCGTTACGATTGTTTGATATTACCAATGATGCCAAGTTTTAGAAAAAGTTAAGATTATCCGAAGATATTTTCTTATATAATTGTAAGAAATAAGAATAAATTTAAAAATTAATATTTTTCTTTTAATTCTTTGGTTGCGAAATAAGTATATCTATAAATAGTTTATACTAACTAGATAATACATTTTAGATTGACTTGATATGCACTTCGCGTGTGCCGCTGGCAAATAATCAAACTCCGTGTGAAAAACTGACTTTATTTGAATTAACAATGCATAAATATAACCGCTATTAAGTATTGTCCGCTCGCTGTTCCGCCGACCTCGAATTCTCGTATTTGAGTGCTGTCGTCTTTGGGGTACTTTTAGGGGCTCGCCTTATCTTCACATATGGCATAATATATCTTCCTACGCTGCTATGTTGCCAGATTGTAAAAATGCATAAAATAAACTTAAATTAGATAGAGACGTGAATACATTTTTATTTATAAATTAGAAGTAAATTAAACTAAAAATCGAAAATTATTTCGAAGATTGACTTAAAACTCAAAATTATAAAAGTTCAAAAAATGGATTATGTATAAGTAAATGAAATTTACCTTTATATTCTACCGCCTAACTTGTTCGGTATAACGTAACAGAAAATGTTCAGTAGTCTTGATATAAGTTATATGAAAATATTTAAATTTTTTGAAAAAATCGGAATAAAGTATCTTTTTCTCGAAATTTATACAATGTTGATATATTACAATCTATTGTAATTAATAATTATTTTTTTAGCTTTTTTTTCCTATGGGGTCCGATTGCATTTATAAGATACATGTTTGCAAGAGAAAGGCTACTGGTAACTATAACTTATGGAGGAAGCTTAGGAGCCACTTTATTCACCGCTCTACATCTTCAGAATTTACCATTTACAGTTACTTTTGCTGTGGTACAAGTACTTTCACTCCTTTGGAGTTTAATAGCGATTATACCTGGTGGAACTAGTGGACTTTCTTTTATTAAAAAAATATTATGTCGTTCAACTAGGAGTAGCTTGCCAATTTAAAAAAACGTGAATAAGTATAATATATTAATATAAGAATTTTTGTTTGCTTTAATATTTGTGACTATAAAGAGACATAATGTCGTTTAAGATGCAAAAACTCGTAACGCACACTTTGATGGAAATGGCGATTTATTAGCCATTAAGTTTATTGCTTACATACTTATGCACCTGCAAAATATGACAAGCCACAATTGCGTCGTTTCAGTGAATTTTAACGAAAACAAAAAACTCACATCCCACATATTTTACTGCAACATCTCGTAAACCACATACCCATCTAGTGTATGTGGAATACATGATACTATGACTTCCAAGATAAAACCACTTCGCAATCGAATTTTGTACATCGATGCGCATGACGTCACTTGGCGATAAAAGTTTATCTTTAATTTAATATTCTGAAATATATTTTATGTAAAGTGCACACATTTCTTGTCAACTTACTAGATAAACGATAAAACAATACTAAATCTGACAAAACTCCATGCAAAACAGAACATTTCTGGTGATGTTTGTCACCAAGTGACGTCACGCGTGCAAAAGAGATAGACTGATCGCGTGCGCGTGGGTTTATCTTTAGTTCATAGTATCATGTGTGGGATATGAGGTCACGGTTCGTAGACTTACTACGGTTGCCTCTTCCGACTGGGGTGGGGAGAGTTAAATGCTCGAGTTACGCCACCAGAGTACACAAGAATACAAAACCCATTTATTATCACAGTTTGTTCATGGTAATTATCTTTCTGATTATTATTTGCTTTATTATTTATCGTTTCTTAAATATCTTAGTTTACTTTATATTTTTGTATTTGAAAATTTGGTGTTGTTTTCTGTAACAATTTATTTTTAATTATCGAAGAAAAGTTATTTATTGTAGTTATACATCGTACCTATTATTGTAGAGTACCTTACATAAGAATATCTTTTTATAAGATAGATTAAAACTTTAAAATGTCATTGTTTATTAACGTAATAATAATAAGTAAATAAGTCTGCCGATTCTGATCAGCAAATAGCATTTTTCACGTTTCCCAAAAATACAAAATTAGAAAAAATATGGGTTATGCGCTGGTGCAGAAAAGATAAAATAAATATAAAAACTGCAAGAGTATGTATTAATCATTTCAAGGATGATTTTGTGGATGACATGTATGCTCGAATAATGGAAACTATACCTTATTTCATTAAGCGATGCAGGGCATATAAACAACGATAAATTTAACAGATAATTGTTAAAGATGTTCCAAATGAGTCTACCCGTTCCGATAAGTAACAGTATAATTATGACACTTTATTATTTTTTTTCTTTTCTCAAATATTCGTGTTTATTGCATAGTAAATAAATTAATGTTATCACTGAATACATAGTAAGTGAAAAAATAATCCGATTTATAAAATTAATGAATATTTTATGCATAAATGCAAGTAACAGTTCTTCAAAAATATTTAAAAACTAACCGAAATGTTCATCTTTATTTCGTCTGTCGAAGTTTTCAGCAGCTCATACCAGTTCGGACACGATTCAATGTTTACATCTTCTTGCATCGCTTAATGAATTCTACTATAGGCCTAAGTTGAAATTAAAATAGCTAAATTCCAATGTAAAAGTTTATATCAAATAACGCAAAAACTATGGCAGATATTGAGATGATTGTTTTTTTATATAAAATGTCTTAAAAAGTTTTAGTGCACTATTTGGTTGTAAATTAATAAATTGTTTAAACAATATTTTTTTTTCAAATATTTTTGGTTAAAATAAACGTAAATTTTTTTTTTTTTTTCAATAGGGCACTAGAGAATTTTACCCACTTTCCGAATCTGTTTTTATTTTTAACATAAAGTGTAACACAAAGCAGCTATTTGGTATAAACTTTTAAAAAATTTCAAAGTTCTGCTAAATGTAATTCTCTATCCGTCAGCACAAGCTGTCCTTGTCGGTAGCTTCTGGATTCTCGCCAGCAGGTAGGTAAGACCCTGGGAAGAGGATAAATAATGTTGAATAACATTATTAGGGCTTATTCTGACTCACTGACAAACCAGTGTGTTTATTGTATTTAAAATAGGAAATTTTATATAAATAAGCAGTAAGTAGGTACCTATAATTTGATTAAATTTTTATACGAATAGAAATATTTTCTGTTAATTTGTGACATTTTCCTTCTAAATATGTATACTGTTTTTATAATAATACTATTGTTTCAGTATTTGCTTATATAATAATAATTTATTACATAGAAACAGCGTAGAATTTTGGTCAATCAGAAAGTACATTTTTTTTGTATTTCAATCAGAATTATTATTTTCTTTTCTTCTTTACATCAGCTCAGAGTAATAACCAAATATTTTGCAGTATTTGAATATGAAATTTAATTATATACATTTATTGGTTAGCAACCTACCAATCGTAAAAACAAATACTGCTTAAAGAAACAATGTACAGCCTCGGAACCGGATTGATACTATGAAGACGACTACGGCAAGAAGTAAGGACAAACGAAAATATCCAAAACCCAGATGAGAATTACTACTTGGAATATCAGATCACTCAACTCAAGGGACCAAGAAATAATCCAAATGCTGAAAAAGAAAGAAATAGACATTTGTGCTCTACATGAAACAAAAAATAAAGGAAAAGGTCAATCAAAATTAGGTGAATACATACATACTACAGTGGAGTAGCAAAAGAAAACAGTGCCAAAGAAGGTGTAGCCTTACAAATACACCAAAGGTATTAAAATTACATTAAAGAGTGTGAATACATATCAGAAAGAATAGTAACAGCAAAGATAAGAATGGAGAAGGAAAACCTGAACATTATCGGAGTATACGGCCCAGAAAATAATAAGCCTCAAACAACAAGGGAAGCGTTTTACGACCAATTACAACAAGTAGTAGATCAACTCAGAGAAAAGATGATAATCCACAGCTAATTTGATTATAATAATTAAAGAACCTCATTGATGCCATGTTAAGGAATGGGATTTGTATTTTTTGTTAAAAAAATTGCACAAACATTGTACCTTTACAGGATCCTCTACGAATTTTCAAAAATGTAGTTTAAATGGTGACTAGAAAGAACCTACAAATCCATTCTGTGATCCATATCGAACAAGCAATTTCATACTAATAAAATTTTCTATATCTCCAGATCTACTCAATGGATTTTGATCATTCTTTTTTTAATTTGTATGTAATTTCTACGTACATTACAAATATGTAATTTGTTTATATATTAATTAATTAATAAATAGTCTAGTTTGTTTAAACAATTCATGCAAAAATAATTTTCTTCCAAAAATCTATTTTTTTAATACTAGTATCAATAATCATAGAAAAAATCGCGTTTTTTGCATTAAATTGTTAATAATTAAAAAACAACTCCAAATTCAAGGCAGGAAACAAGTAGGTTTTCTTCCTATAGGTCTACAATAACTAAAAAAATTGTCAGAGACCTGGATTATTGAGTGTCACGAACAAGGTCTATTTTTGCTTATTTCCCTGGAGTATATATTTGATTAATATCTGCGTAATTTCTTTGTCGCTTCCTCGCTGGTTTTGCATATTGCTATGATAGCAGTATCATCGATAATTGTTGCAATTGTATTATTTTCTAGGACAATAATATAACACGTATACAAAAGGTAAAGACACTTCTTTGTGGCAGTCCTGATGTAATTTCTTTCAGTTTCGTGTATGTTTCTTCCTGTTTAATTCTGAAATATCTTTACAAGATGCAGGAGTCAATTATTTGAGAGTATCGGTTTGGTAAATGTAGTCTTAGTTTATAGTTATGGCATCTGTGCCATAATTTATCATATACCTGAGTAACTTCCTAAATTGTCCATCATATTATCCTTCATGATCCATATTTCACATCCATATAAATAGTAATACGGTATATTTCATCATCATCATCATCATGATCAATTGCACTTCAACTCTTCGTGAGTCTTTGACGCGGTTACTATTGCCTCCCATATTTGTCGGTCCTGTGCCAGTAATTCCCATGGTCGCACTCCCATTTTCTCTAGATCTTGGAGTATATTTACATATAACAAATTAAATCCTTAGTTGTAAATTTTTGAAATAAGTACTCAGTATACATCTAAGTTTCATAAATGCTCCTCATAAATCTCATAAATCTAAAATCCGTCCTTTGTTGACAATTAGGTGCATAGGGCCGACGTTTACTAATTAGTAAATTATCTTATTTCTTTCATTTGACAATAATAATTGTCTGTTAGATTAGTATTGTAATAAGTGAATTCGTCTCTTACTGAATGATAATAAACAACACATCAAACTTATTCTGAAAGTATTTCTTGTGTCATGTTATATTTTATTAGATTTTGGTGTAATAAACCACAACCTATCAAATTCAATATTAAAAATCAAAATTGGAAATGATCACGTGACTGAATTATTCTGTCCTTCAAGAAATTTAAAAAAAAACTGATTCTTATTGCTATTCAGTGCAAGGACAGTTATTTTGTTATTTATATCGAATAGAGAATACTGTTAGTTTACGGTATGGACCCCAAAAAATATTTTATTTGAAAATATTGATAAAGGTATGGAACTATGGGAAAATATGCTACAAAAATTGCAAGATTTTTATTATAATTTTTATTTGGAACACCTTCTGAAGAAACATTAGACATAATTCTATATTTATATAGTTTCATTTTATCAATTTTAATGATCGTGATACTAATCAAATTTTTATGATATAGGTATAATTATAATGTTTTTTTATAATTTTTATTTTTCGTAAACTCTAATCTACGTTAAAATTCAGACCGCCAATTTTTCCGTAAAAAAGGAACAAATAAATTATGTATGTACCTTTGTTACATTGTAAATTTATGAATAGATTACAGTGGAACCTCGATTATCTGTCAGGGCACCGGACCAAGGGTATGACGGATAATCGAAAAAACGGTTAACAGAACGTTAAAAAAATTCATAGTATAACTCCCAAATTTTATTTGTATGTTTTATTTGACAATATAAGAGCGATTTATGTTAGTACACTCGAATCAATTTGATTTAAATTATTCCGAAATCTGTGTTTGTTTTATTGTTACTTCACATTTTGCAACGGCTGAATTTCTTAATCGACGTACAATAATCAAATCTACCTTATTTGCTTCTTCTTGTCGAGAATACCACTTGATGAATTGTTGTATATTCGATGCAGCTCCTCTAGCTTATTTACGCAAATCTTTGTGAGTTGTAATAGCATCATCAACATCGCCACCATCAAAGTTTCTGTCAACTTCTGAATCAGTTTCGTCCCCTCGGTTGGCATTGCCGATTTCATCATCTGTCAATAAATCGGTAGCCGTTTGCGTCCTCATCACAAATCAACCATTCGTTTATGTCATCTTTAGGCAACGAAACAAAACAGTTGATTCAGCCATAACTACATTTAAGGGGAGCATTTTCATCTTAAGTTAATTCAGTCCATAATTTATTCCACGCTCTTTTCAGCGTTACTTACGAAACATCAGCCCAAGTATACACAGCATTGTCGACTGCGTGTTTTAAATTGTATGCTTTCCAGTATTCTGGCAAAGAATATTACTCTTCCATAACTAGGTTTTGAATAAACATTTTTCTGTATCTTCTCTAGAATGTTTTAATGACCGACTGATCCATTGGCTGTATCATTGATGTTGTATTCGCAGGCAGAATAGAGTCGTGATATTTTTATCGTCACTCCGCAGCATACCGGCTTTAGGATGGGCAGGTTCATTGTCCAAAATAAGAATCGTCTTTGGTGGAAAATTTTTTGCAAACAAAATGAATTGATGACTAAACTTTTACTTATGTTGTCAATCTAACTTATGTATGGACCCTGACGGTTAACGGAGGTGACGGTTAATAGAGAGACGGATAATCGAGGTTCCACTGTATATTACTTTGATCTGTAAGTCTATTTACTCAAAACACCACTAAAAAGAAATTTATGGTTTTATTGTCCAAAACCCAAAACCTGTCACTTCAGGGGTTGTCCCGATTGTATAATCGGCTCGAGTAAAAGATTAACGCATTTTTGACCTGGGCTTGAGAGAACGAAGTTTAGAATATTACTGATGAACAGATTTTGTTTTCGTAAATAAAGAAATTTTTGAAATAGAGATAGCCCACTGAAATTTACCGTTAGGATTTTCGAGGATGAGCCTTAATGTAATTCTGTTTATTATTATATTAAAACTAGTATTGTGGTTAGATATACCAACTGTCTATGAGCTATGTAGTAACCATGGTAACGAATCACGTGGTTTTGTTAGCAAAACGGCCCCTCCCAGTTAACATTTTGGCATCGTTTGACTTTCTTTGTTCAATCATGATTGTATAACGAAAGAATGTCTTAAATATAAAAGTATACCATTTTTTTCCTTGGCACCCTGACGTTATATAATCGTGGTTGAAAGTCAAACTATGATCAGTAAAGTTTACTGCGGGATTATACTGGTTTTTACATAATACATAAACATAAAAACAATTCCAGTTTTATTAAATTTTAAACAAATTTAATTTTTATAGGCAAAACAATATTATGTAATGATCGATTAAATTTTGTCTATTAATTATTTCCGGAAGAGAAAAAGATTAATTATTAATATTTACTTGAGTCATAATGAGAAATGAGATGAAAATCTGAAATTTTCTTAGGAAAACACTTCCCCTGTTGACATTCGATATGAAAAAAATTGATATTGTATTGACGCTGTTTTTCAACTGATTAACATATTTTAGATTTTTTATAAATACTGTTTTTATACATAAATAGTCCAATTCTCATAATCCCTTTTTGATCATTTTTACCTGTTTTTTAAAAAATTGCAAATTTCTTTATCAGTTTGGAATAAATATTTTTGGGCAGGTAAATAATTCAGAATATTCGTCTGAAATGTGAGTAATAAAATACTTCCAAATAAATGATAGTTTTGTGTAGGTATACATAGTGTGACTAACTTAAATTCAATCGAATTCGGGACAAGGCTAAAAAAATACCTGAAATCCGGGAATTTTCAGTGAAAATTGGGCCATTTTTTATTTTTTTTTAAACAAGGACTGTAATGCCATAATTTTATTGATTATTTAAAAATTTTTATGTT